CAACAACAACAACATTTAGTAAGCACAAGCAATGAATAAAGAATACACAACAGTGTGTTTAAAAGATGGTACAGTCTGTTCTCATCTCTCCCCACCTCTCTTTACCTAGGGGACAGGGGGAGATTAGAGAGAGGATGAAAAATGAGACGTGCCTATCCTTTCCCTTCTATCTCTCTACATGTAATAAGACAAGTGCCAGCACCTTTTTAACTTCTTAGGCCAACCAGAAGTCTTTTGCATAATACAAAGATAGGTGTGGTCATGAAACTGATGAGTTCTGTTATAACAGAAATCCCTTATGTGGATGGCTTTGTTGTTGTTGTTGTTGTTGTTAATAAGTACCATTGAGTTGGTCTTGATTCATACTGACCCCATATAGGGTTTCCGAGGACCCTATATAGGGTCGGTATGAGTCAAAACCAACTCAATGGTACTTCCCTATACTCTAACTAGACTGATAGATCATATAACATTATATGTATACATGAAAAATGTTATTAAAACTAATCAAATAACATCTGAATCAAAATAATTCTTTTTATTTCCCTAGAATAACAAAAACATATTCTACTAAGACATAAGATTTTACAGAAGTTTCCAGACAAGCCATACAAAATTGTCACAAGCTTTACATTGATGGAAGGATTCTACACTTGACAATAAAGTCACAATGTTATTAGTGAGGGCTGTGATGTTTGTTTAATGTTCCCATTTTGGTTGAAACAATCAAACTGTCCATCTAAGTTGTTGTTGTTGATAAGTACCATGGAGTCGGTTCCGACTCATAGTGACCCTGTACAGGGTTTCTGAGGCTGTTAATCATTATGGGAGCAAAACGCCTCATCTTTCTCCTGCGGAACCGCTGATAGTTTCGAACTACTGACCTTGAGGTTCGCAGCCCAATTCATAACCACTATGCTACCAGTGCTCCTTTTTTCCATCTAAGTTGTTGTTGTTAAGTACCATGGCATCGGTTCCGACTCATAGTGACCCTGTACAGGGTTTCTGAGGCTGTAAATCTTTATGGGAGTAGAAAGCCTCCTCTTTCTCCCGTGGAACAGCTGGTAGTTTCGAACTGCTGACATTAAGGTTCGCAGCCCGATTCGTAACCACTACGCTACCAGAGCTGCTTTTGTCCAACTATAGTGTCTAAATAAAGTTAGGCTTGGCTGTTGTTGTTAGTTACCACTGAGCCAGTGCTGACTCATAGTGACCCTATACAGGGTTTTTGAGGAGCAGCTGGTGAGTTTGAACCGCTGGCTAAAGAACAACTGGTTAGCTGCTTTTAACCAGTGCAATTGGTGGTGGTGGTTATGTGCCGTGGAGTTGGTTCCGACTTATAGCGACCCTGTACAGGTTTTCCGAGGCTGTAAATCTTTACAAGAGCAGAAATCCTCATCTTTCAACCGCAGAACAGCTGGTAGTTTCGAACTGCTGACCTTGCGGTTTATAGCCCAATGCAATTAGATCAACATAAAAAGGGGGGAGGAGCCCATACATTTAAGATAAAATTCCCACCCACCCCCAAACAAAAAAGTCAAAGAGAAACACCCACACCGCTGCAACTAACCTAACAACTACCTTCATTCACAATGCTTTGTACTTAAACCGTGATGGGGGGAAATGAATAGAAGCAGAGAGGGGACACTGCTTTTAAACATTTAGCAACAATCCAGATGGTACTTCTAGCTCATGCATTACAACAGTGAATCAGGACAAAACAGATTTGCTTATGAGCATTTAATCACCAAAGGACTGAAGATGTCTAGGCTTTTATTCTGTAATGTTTCTAAGACTGTGTCCATTAAATGCAAACAAAAAAGGGGAAGTCTTAACAGAACAGGAGCAGCGAGGCACACTTGATGAGCAGACTGACTGAAATATTATTCATGGCGTACAGCCTAGTCCACACTGTAATTGTACCTACGGCTTGGGCTTCCTTGGCCTCCTCCTCCTCCGCTACTCCGTTTGTTAGTGGAGCATCTGGATTGGGAACATTTAAAGCCTGGATGGGTAGCAGACCTGTGCAGATCTGCAATGCTAGAGACCACTTGCCTTTAAAAATATCTAAACATATTCTTCCCAACTTGTTCACGTTGTAATTGTTAAATGCCGTTGAGTCTGTTCCAACTAAAGCTTCCAAGGAGAGGCTGGTGGATTTACACTACCGATCTTGCAGTTAGCAGTCCAGTGTTATATACAGAGGACTCCTTGTCTACATCAGGGTGACACATTTTGGTCATGAGATGTACTTCAGCAGCTGTCATTGGGTATTCTTCTGGGAAGAACAGTGCAAGTCTAAAAGTCTCTCAATGGGGGACTAGCAGGGGCCACCAATGGCCACATGAATATCATGGGTGTTGCTCTCATCTGGTTCTGCCAGGAAATGCTGAGTTTCCTTGATAATCCTGCAGGGCATTCTGACCATCTTGTCAAATCCTGAGTTCTAGTCACCTTTCCAGCACTAAAAACAGTCCATTTTTATAAAAGTATTTTCTACAGCACTCCAAAAAATAAACTATTGTGAAAAATAGAAGGCTTCTGCCAAATTAAAGACAATTTCCCAAACCCCTCTCCACCTCACCCTGTTTGCTCCCTGTTGATGGCTTTGATCTCTCTACTTTCAGATGGATCATGCCCTTGGGACATCTTTCCAAGGCACCACTCAGAAAGACGCTCTATGATATGTGGATTGTGAGTTGATCTTAAACAAGTTGGATTCTTCCCAAGGAACAGCTTGCTGTGAGGACTGGGATGGAAGAGCCGGCACCAGTGGAAGGTGAGAGTCAGCTCCCAAGTACTCACACCAGCTCTCTGAGGAAGGTTATGGCTGCTGCCTTGGCCCTGGATGGAGAGTCTACCATGAGTCGCAGGAAAAAGAAGAAGAAAGAGTCCCGCCCAGAATCTATCATCATCTACCGGTCAGATACTGAGACAGCGGATGAAGAGCCAGAGGAATTGGAGGGTGGAGAGTTACCTAAAGAAGAGGGAGAGGATTTCCTAGATCACCCCGTGGATGATGGTGAGTCTCTGTAGTCATGGGAAGGAACCCAAATGAGAATTCCCCTGAAGACAGCCTGGCATTTGCTTGCTGATCTGTTTCTTCTTCATTTTTTTGTTTCAGACAAAAGGTCTCATATATTTCTTACTGAGCCAACCCATTACTGTGGAAGCATAAAAACCGAAGAAACCAGAATCTTCCACATGCCCAACTGTTCAGATAGTGGTAAAATGTTCAGCTTTGAAATGGTAAAATGCTGGTGAACTTGATAGAGTTCGTATGTGTGCCATCACATGTGCAGTCCCTTGGGGAACCAGTTTGGTTCTTCCCCAGTGTCTTTTCTTGGAGTTGGACCTAATTTTATGATGCGTTTTCATTCTCATCTATTGAGGAATGGGACAAATCCACTTTTGTTTCTTGACCAGGAATATCTTTTTTTTTTTTTTTAACTTTTTATTGTGAATTGAGTGAAGGGTTACAGAATAGATCATCAGTTTTACATTCAACAAATCATATACTTGCTTCATTACAGTGACTGTAATCCCCTTGATGTAATATCAGATATCCCACTTCCTCCCTGTGATTCCATTCCACCCTCTTCCATAACCCATGGTGTGCTTACTTCACTAGTGATGTTCCCCCCTAACTCACCCCCATATACCTATCTACTGCTTGGCTCACAATTGAGCCACAAGGATGAGTTCATTTGCAGACCTGAAGGGTTGCTGAGAGCCTTAGTTTGGGGTTCCTCCAGTCTCTTTCTGACCTGTAAGCCTGTTCTTTTTTATAATCTTGACTCTTGTTCCAAGTTTGCCCCCACTCTATCTAGGCCCTTCTAATGTGATCCGTTTCAGAATAGTTGGTAGTGGTGGCTGGGCACATCTAGTTCTGGTCTCAGGGTCATGGAGACTAATGTTTCCATGTTCCATTAGTCCACTGAACTAATTGAGGCCAGAAATCTCTTGATCCTGAAAGTCTTGTGAGATGACACCAAGAGAATGGAAGTGGACTGCCCATCCACAGTGGCAGGAAAGGGAGAGAGAGCAGTCTGTTTTTTCTTGTTGACATTTATTTGCTGTGTTGTGTGCGAGTCTAGCTCACATAACCAGGGCGGCAGAGACGACGTAGCTTAGAAATAAAACAGAGACACAAGTTAGGAATTAAGGGAGACTGCAAGACTCATGATCTCTAAGATCAAGACTCCAGCAAGACTCATGATCTCTAGGATCAAGACCCCAGCAGCACTCATGATCTCTAGGATCAAGACCCCAGCAGCACTCATGGTCTCTAGGATCAAGACCCCAGCAGCACTCATGGTCTCTAGGATCAAGAGCCCCAAGACATGGCGGTACTCCATTTGTATTAGCCTCCAGCCTTTTCATCCCTCCAGGATGCCATCCATCACTGATATCATAGGGGGTTTTGATGTGATACAGATTAAGGAAATGTTCTTTGGGGAGAGAAAAACAAGACTATAATTCAGGGATGCATGAGTGGGTTTCGAGAGATCACAATACAGGGTGCCAATTATTACATCTGGTCATTACGTACCAATCCGGCTTTCTGTCACTGCACTAGCATTAAGGAGCAGCTTTCTGCTTCCTTATGCCGTGGCCCAGATGTGACTCCCTTCCTCTTGCGTCTGTCCTTGGTGGTCTTCACTCAACAATTTGATAGTATTTACTGAGCACCTATTATTTTCTATGGTAGGTGATATGGAGATAATCTCTACCCTTTCAAAACTCCTTGGGTAATGAAAGAAGGTATTTATACACAAAAATAAGTAATATAAACAAATGTTCCTTATTAGTTAACACATGAAAGGTAAAGAAACAATAATAGTGACTTTAATAGTAGTTGGTAAAATGCAAATTATAACAAGAATGAGAGTTTAAGATTTCAAACAGTGTTAAAATGTGATTACATCAGTGTGAGGAAATGAGTATATTCTCATACGCTTCAGGTGAAAGTAAGTGGAAAACACTTTGTAGGGAAATTTATCCATGTTTGTTAAATCTCAGAAATTCAAGTTCTCAGTATCTACTCTAGGAAATTTATGTCCATGTGTATAGGAGTCATGTACACAAATGTTTGTTGCTGCTAAAGAATTGGTGGAGTGTGACTACCAAAGATTACTGGGCAGCAAGAGATGGTTGAGACAGAGTTTTTGAATATTTGGATGGGTCTCTAAGACATAGACCCACAGAGACAAAGAGAAGCAACATCCCTGGTTCCAAGCAGCTTACCTTATAGTCCGAGGAAAATAAGTCAGTAAGCAAGTCACAAATGTAGATAATTTCAGGTAGTGGTGAACGTTACAAGGAAAATAAAACCGTTGTGGTCATGGAGGATGGTGGGGAGAGACTGGATGATCCTGGAAGGCCCCTCTGAGGAAGTGATCTTTGAGCTGATCTGAATAATATGAAGGAGGCAGCCATGATGAGATCTTGGCAGAGAAGTTTCAGAGGAGGGTCAGAAAAGGTGAAGACCCTGAGGTGGGAGTAACATTGTCCTTTCTATGGAATGGAATTCTTTCTGTGTGACTAGAGTGTTGGCAGCTCTGGCACAGTGGCACAATGGTTAAGCATTCAGCTGCTAATTGAAAGGGCAGTGGTTCGAGCCCATCAGCTCCTCCACGGAAGAAAAGACTTGGCGCTCTCCTCGTAAAAAGTACAGCCTACAAAACCCAATGAGACAGTTCTATTCTGACAGATAGGGTTGCTGGGAGTTGGAATCAACTCAGTGGCACACTGTAACAACAACATGCAGGCAACAAGAGGAGGGTGGTGAGAAGACATGAGAAAGGTAGGCAGTGGTTTGGTCTTATAGATCATGTTGGGCCTCTTAGGCCGTAGTAAAGAGTTTAGAGCTTGTTGTAAGTCATTAGAGGTCTTTGACGAAAATGAGAGCCATCCTCTCACTTATATGTTTAGAAAGATCACTCTGCCTTTTCTGTGAAGACTGGATTCCTGGGGCAGGGGACTGTGGAAGCTGATAGAAGACTCCTGTCGCACTGCAGCTACAACAGCCTGAGTGTAGACATTTGGACCAGCGTGATAGCAAGGGTGATAGGATGGACTCAGGGTGTAATTTAGAGAGGTTTGCAATGGGGGTGCGGGAAAGACAAGAGTCAGTGATGACGCCTGGGGTTTTAACATGAGCAATGAAAAGACGAGATGATGGTGTCCTTGCTGAGATGAGGGAGACTGAAGACCAGTACAACCTTTACGTCTGGGCACTCAAAGATCCTGCCACTATCCTGGGCTCTGCCCTTTACATGGCTCCGCTGTAGTCCTGTTTTAACCATGGGGCAAGGAGTTTACAGGGACCAGGGAAGCTCCCTGCCTAGAGCCTGTAAACTCCCCTACCTCAGCACACACAATTTCGAGATCACAGTTTCACATGCCAAGGACCACAGTACTGCCTGCCTCAGTATCTCCAAATTCACTTCCAGAGTGGCCAATATTTGGATATGCCAGCGAGGTTGTCCACAGGCCTGTGTAGAAGTCTCTCCTAAGGGAACCACAGAGATGGACATGAGAAGAGAAGGGGCTGTCCATCAGGGGCTTCCGGTTGAACTCCTGACCTGCCTCGATGATATGTGTGCATGTTGTAATATATATGTGCATGGTTATGTATAAATGTGTAGCGGGAGAAATTTGAGGCTTTCTGTTCCCGTAAAGATTTGCAGCCTCGGAAACCCTGTACAGGGTCGCTATGAGTCGGAACTGACTCCATGGCACATAACAACAACAACATATACAGTGTATGTGTGGTGTATAATACCCACATATTATAGTCTTCACACACAACAGATGATATTCATGACGATATTTTCACTGCACTTATATAGAAGATCAATATAAAGTGGTGTCCCTAATAAAGTGAGGATGTGGATGCTTTGATGTGTTAGAAGTTGTTCCTTATCCCCCTCCATATTGTAGAGATTCTGCTTCACAATTCTATCAGGGGTCAGAAGTGTGGTGTGAGAGTTGCCTGTGGGCCTCCTTCCTGAGAGAGGCCCCTTCAGGTGATCATTAAAGCACTGACTTCTGTTCAGCACTGTGCCAGATGTGTGAAAGTGGACATTCTCATACTTGGCTCCAACCTCAGGGGATGGCAATGATGAAATGTTAACTTATCTGATCTTGACTTTCACCTGCTTTGTGCCCTGTAGGTAGGTGGAACATGCCTTTGGACAGTCGCTATGTCACATTAACTGGGACCATCACACGAGGGAAGAAAAAGGGACAGCTGGTGGATATCCATGTCACATTAACAGAGAAGGAGCTGCAGGAATTGACCAAGCCTAAAGAATCGTCAAGGGAAACACCACCTGCGGGAGGAAACGTCTGTCAGATGGGTGCAGATCGTGGGCCACATGTGGTTCTTTGGACTCTGGTCTGCCTGCCTGTGGTTTTTGTCCTCTCTTTTGTTGTTTCTTTCTACTATGGTACCATCACTTGGTATAACATCTTCCTTGTGTACAATGAGGAGAGGACCTTTTGGCACAAGATTTCATATTGCCCCTGCCTCGTTCTCTTCTATCCAGTGCTCATCATGGCTATGGCCTCTTCCCTGGGCCTCTATGCTGCTGTGGTACAGCTCTCCTGGTCCTGGGGCGCATGGTGGCAAGCTGCTCGGGACATGGAGAAAGGATTCTGTGGTTGGCTCTGCAGTAAACTGGGCCTAGAGGACTGCTCTCCCTACAGCATTGTGGAGCTGCTTGAGTCTGACAATATTTCAGGCAATCTCTCCAACAAGGACCCTACCCAAGAGGTAGAAACCTCTACTGTCTAACCATGCAGCAATTAGTTCCTTCTCTGGACCGCAAAGTCTATCTATCACCTTCCCATTACAGATGATTCTTCTTCTCCTCACCCCCAACTTCATAGTTCTTCTTTCCTACCATCTTTATGCTTCCAGGATGGTAGAGAACAGAAAAGCAGCTGTGTGCTAAAGCAGTTTACCTCATGGAAAAACTCTTCTTCTTACCTGCCTGAAGTGGCAATTTATCTGAGATAGGGTGCTCGGTAATTTCCGTTCCGGAACTTGGATATACTCCTGGTGCCTGGAAACAGGAGACAATGTAACTAATGTGACCGGTAGAATCAGGCTCAGGGAGACTGAGGCCATGAATAGGTAGTAGGTAGAGACGAAGTGTGAGGCGTTTAAGAAGCAGGGCTGCCACCGTATAGTATCATGTAGAGACTTGTAGCACTCAGATTTAGCTTTAGCTTGTTGTTGTTGTTGTTGTTGTTGTTGTTAAGTACCGTGGTGTAGATTCTGACTCATAGTGACCCTGCACAGGGTTTCTGAGGCTGTAAGTCTTTACGGGAGCAGAACGCCTCATCTTTCTCCCGTGGAACGGCTGGTAGTTTCGAGCTGCCGACCCTGAGGTTAGCAGTAGATTTAGCTACATATTATTAAAGGAGCCCTGGTAGCATGTTGTTGTTGTTATGTGCCGTCGAGTCGATTCTGACCCATAGCGAGCCTGTACAGGGTTTCCAAGGAGCAGCTGGTGAGCTTGAACCACCAACCTTGCAGTTCAAACAACTCTGCAGTCTGACGCATTACATTAGCCCACAGCGCCACACCAGGACTCCCCTGGTAGCACAGTGGCTTACAAATTGGGCTGCAGACCCCAAGGTCAGCAGTTTGAATTTATCAGTTCCTCCACGAGAGAAAGATGAGGCTTTTTGCTCCAGTGAAGATTTATAGCCTTGGAAACCACATAGGATGACAATGGGTTAGAATCAACTTGATGGCATACAACCAACACAGTCCCCGCCACCTGCAACACCAGTGGTTTAAACAAGATGGAGTTTTTGTTCACTCTCATATAGAAGAGGGAAACATATAAAGTCATAGGGGCTTCAGGCTTCTTTTAATCCACTACCGTTAGCAGGATGTGGCCCTCATTGTCCATACCCTTAATGTTCCAGAAGCTGACTGCCTCTCCATCCATCACATCTATGTTCCTGGCAACAGAGTAGAGGGAAGGGAATGAAGAACACTCTTCCCTTTAAGGAGACTTCCCAGGGGCTCCACTCAACACTGCTTCTTATATCTCATTGGCCAGACTTTAGTTACCTGATATCAAGTGCAAAAGAGGCTGGAAAATAGTCTGGGCTGGGCGACTCTATTCTTAGTTTAATATTTTATCTTATGCTAATTTAAGAGAAAAGGGGAGAATGATGATTTTGGTAGACAAGAGTCTATGATGATTTAGGTACATTTAGAATTCCTGACTGCAAATAAGAGTTTTTAAGGGAGCTTTGGTAGCATAGTGGTTACCAGTTGGGCTGCAAACCTCAACGTTGGCTGTTTGAATCTACCAGCCTAGCTACCACAGAAAGATGAGGTTTTCTGCTCCCGTAAAGATTTACAGCCTCGGAAATCATATGCAGGGTCACTATGAGTCAGAACCGACGCCACGGCACAGAACTACCACTAATCACCAATAGAGTTTTTATTTATTTATTTTGGCCAGAATCTCACACAGAGAGAAATTTATACATAGATATCAGCTGAGAAGCACCTTGTGTAATTTACAGTTAAGCTTTGGCAAACATTATGCGCTTTCCGGTGTTTTGAATATTTATTTATTTTTGGAAAGGAATAATATGTTAATAGTAGCCTGGAACTCCTGCTGGTAGAGGTGGGATGGAGGTGCTATTTAATCCCACCTACAGATTAAAGGCTGTGAAGGAAGGGATTACATTTGCCAAACTTCCTCCTCTCCCCAAGGATTAGAAAACCCTCAACACAAAGAAGCCAGATTTAATCTTCCGTTGTCTAAGATGCCTGCCTCCTAGGGGGTTGTAATCCAGCTGGTGCTCCTTGTGCGTCTGTCCTGTTTCAGAGAGAAACTGTTGAAAGAACTGCTATGAATCAAAGCAGAGGGGTCAGCCAAGTCCTCTACATCAGGCCAGGAACATTGCCCTAATGTGTGGTGTTGGCGTCCATCTTCTAAGAAACTTTTGTTTTTAAACAATTACTAGTTTGACAAGAAAAGTAAACTTATACAGGTAGTTCTGAAGGTAACCTTGGTGCTCTGTGGTGCTTTTACAGAACAATTGTAATGAAGATTAAAAAAATAATAACAATAAAAGTAAAATCTGATTAACATCTGTTCATCTTGTCTTTGAGGGTCCCCAAAATCAGTTTTCAGAAAAAGGGTGATTCTGCTGGTTGACCATGTGTGTGTAATATTAACATGATATGTACCCTAATGTTGGGGCACTCTCCCCATACCCCTGATTTACTGGGGTGCCATTTTGGACTGTTTTCACAAATCACATATTTAATTAAGCTCACATTTGGAAGTTGTAACCACAATTTGTCACTTTTTTTCCCCCTGGATGTGGGGAAATCGGTGGTCAAGGTCAAGACTACCCATGATTAGAACAGGGCAAGGTGAGGTCATAGTTGGTGGAACGTAGTGGGTGGAGCGTGAGATGAGGCCCTCTTGTCACTTGCTGGGCTCACCATCTAATGAAAGAAATAGGTTTGTAAACTAATTTCAAAAGGGCTAAAACAGTGGGATGTACAAAGCCTAGAGGACTGGACACTGAGCGAGTAGAATAAAGGTCACCAACATTTGCTCTGAGCAGATACCTAGTGAACTTTAGAGAAAAACCTGGAAATACCACACTTCAGCAATTCTGTTAGTACATAGTTAGCTAATCATGGTGAATATCAATAAGGAAGATTACATTTTCCAATTACATTTCCTAGAATGGCAGTCTCATGGGACAATCATGGTGGCTGGCTTCCCTCATAATGCAAACATGGTATCTTTAGTTGAGATACCCCAATGTAATGATACTTAGGCTTCCAAAACAACTTGTCTGTTTACATTAGGTTGTTTTTGTTGCTAAGTGCCATTGAGTCGCTTATGACTTATAGCAACCCTGTATAGCTCCCACAGGGGGTGGCTGGGGAGCTTGAACCGCCAATCTTGCAGTTCAAACTGACCTTGCAATCCAGTGCATTAACCCACAGTGACACATAACAGTTCATGACTAAGGGGTTCACCCTGACTTCCTATAAAACAAAACTCTAAACTTTAAAAAGAACTCATTTCAGATGTCTTAAAAGTTTCATTTTGCCACTTTGGAAAAGCCATTCAGGGCTAGGTCTTTGTGGTGGTAAACAAGGTTGTTGTTGTTGTGTGCCGTGGAGTTGATTCCAACTCATAACGATGCTATACAGGGTTTCCTAGGCTATAAATCTTTAAGGGAGCAGAAAGCCTCATCTTTCTCCCACGGAACAGCTGGTAGTTTCCAACTGTTGACCTTGTGGTTCGCAGCCCGATTTGTAATCACTACGCTACCAGAGCCAACACAAAAACATTTGTCTTCCTCAGTTGATTACTTTTACATGGACACAAATCTTTTACATGGATTATTTTTAAAGGTATTTGATGAACGTGGTGGAATATGATACCACTGCCACTTACATTTCTTTGAGATATAACCTCAATTTCACATTTGTGCCATGTAACAATTTTAACTACTTTTCCCAGTTGCCCATGTAACCATTGTTCATGTAGCCTCCAGATTTTTATTTTTCATATAGTTCACTCTCAGAATGATGTTAAACATGAACACATTTCAGAAATCCAAATTGTAATTGCAAAATAACGTTCTTTACTTAATTCCAACTACTCTGACATGGCGCTGTGTTAATGCACTGGACTGCAAGGCTGGTTTGAACCACAAGGTTGGCGGTTCAAGCTCACCAGTTGCTTCTTGGAAACCCTATATAAGGTCACTATGAGTTGGAACTGATTCCACGGCACTTGACTACAACAGTTCTGAAGGGTGTAAGGAGCTCTGGTAGCGTAGTGGTTACGAATCGGGTTGCAAACCACAAGGTCAGCAGTTAAAAACTACCAGCTGTTCCGCGGGAGAAAGATGAGGCGTTCTGCTCCCGTAAAGATTTACAGCCTTGGAAACCCTGTACAGGGTCGCTATGATACAGAACCAACTCCATGGCACACAGCCACCAACACCAATCTGTACTAACAGATATACTTTTTTAAAAAAAATTCCCCTTGTTTCAGTTATTGCTGTGTAACAAACTTCCTCAAAACTTAGTCACTTAGTATAACCACGATTTGATATGTTTGATCACAATTCTGCAATTTGGGAAGAGCTCAGGGAGATGTTTTAGAAATACCCTAGAGAAACGACTTCACTCTGCTTCACGGCTCTAGTGCTGAGGCAGCTTCTACTGAGTTGGAGGATCACTTCCAAGTAGCTACGTTGAGCTTTCCTAGAATGGCAGCCTCATGGAACAATCATGGTGGCTGACTTCCCTCATAATGCAAAAGCTAAATATCAGGTATTCTGAAGGCTTTGACACAGAATTGGCCACATTGTGCTGGTAAGAGCAGGTCACAAGGTCAGCCCAGACTCAAGAAGGCGCTCAAAGCTGTGAATTCTGGTAGGCATGGTTCACTGATGTTAAGTTCTATCAAGTCAGTTCCGACCCATAGCTACCCTATATAGGGTTTCCGAGGAGCAGCTGGTGAATTTGAAATGCTGACCTTGCAGTTCAAACAGCTTTGCAGTCTGGTGCATTAACCCACAGCACCACACCCCCAAATTATCAGTACGACATTCCTTTTTTCACTCTCCCATTCATTTCCCTCATAATCCCACAGTGATTCGCATATATCTCTCTTTGCCCAAAATTCCTTCCCCATAGCCACAGCCCATTAACCTCTTATCCTTTCCCTCCTGCTTTACACTGAGTTCTGTATCATCGGTTACTAGCCATTTGGGTTATTGTGCTCTGACTGTGATATATCTTCAGTCATATCACCCTCAATGCACCTGATCTCGTCTAATCTTGGAAGCTAAGCAGGATTGGGCCTGGTTAGTACTTGGATGGGAAACCTAAAGGTTGCAGATTCAAGTGCCTCAGAATAAAGGCCTGGTGATCTACTTCCAAAAATTAGCCACTGAAAACTCTGTGGAGCAGCTTTACTCCAACACACCTGAGGTCTGCCGTGAGTTAGAGACCAGCTGGTTCCAGTTTTTAAGAGGTTTGAAAATCTGATTGGATTTGATATTTCCAGTTTGGTCAAAGGTTTGTGAATACTTTACAGGTTGCTGGACCCTCTGTTCAGTCACCTGTGAACTTGTACTTCTTTTGGTATCAAAAATAACTGTTTGTTGCAACCATAAGACTCTTAGCAGCTGTTGCGTGCCTTCAAGCTTCTCCACTTGTATTACCTATTTCTGCAAGAGTACCCCTTCCACTTTTGTTTGCCCATAAAACTTTGTTGTTGTTAGGTGCCACAAGTCAGTTCATAGCGACCCTATGTACAGAATGAAAATGTGCCGTTTTGCACCATCCTCACAACTGGTGTTAAGCTTCAGCCCATTGCTGCTGCCACTGTGCCACTCCATCTCTTGGGGGTGGGGAGGGGTCTTCCTCGTTTTCGCGGACTCCCATTACTAAGCATGATGTCCTTCTTCAGGAACTGCTACCCACTCCCACCCCCCACCCCCAAACTATGTCTGAAGTGAGAGAGCAGTCTCCTCTTTCTGGTTTGTAAAGAGCATTCTGGCTGTATTTCCAACACAGATTCGTTTCTTCTGCAGGCCACGGTCTTACTCTTCCTTAAACACTTGGGTCTACACTCTCCACGTTTGCAGTGTCTTTCATTATAGTTAAGTATATCTAACAAAATAATGCGCTGGACAGCAAGGTCAGTTTCATACCCACCAAGGAGCTCTGGTAGCGTAGTGGTTACGAATTTGCCTGCTAATCTCATGGTCAGCAGTTCGAAACTACCAGCTGTTCAGCGGGAGAAAGATGAGGCTTTCTGCTCCCGTAAAGATTTACAGCCTCGGAAACCCTGTACAGGGTCGCTATGAGTCGGAACCGACTCCATGGCACGCAACAACAACAACCACTCCTCGGAAAGCCTATACAGGGTTTCTATGAGTCGGAAGTGATTCCACGGCACTTAGCAACAACAACAAATATCTAACTCAGGGAGCAAGTGGCTCCAAACGATTAAGCATTGGACTGCGAACCACAAGGTCCGAGTTTAAGCCCGTCAGCCGCTCCGCGGGAGAAGAATGAGGTTTTCTGCTCCCGAAACGATTTAAAGCCTTGAAACCCTATAGAGGGTCGCTATGAGTCGGAACATATATATTAACACTTAACAACGTATCTAACTCCAGAGCTGTCGATAGCTTTAGCTATTACCCTCAGTAAAAGAAAAAGGAAGGGAACCTTTCAGAGGGGTTGAGCAGAGAAAATCTGCGCATGCTCAGAGCGCTGGAGCTCGGCTTCCCGGCCCCTTCCAAGCTCAGCGAATAACCGGCTCTTTCCCCAGCGGAGGCGCTACAGATCCGCCGGAACCGAGTTGCTCACTGAAGGTTCCCTCCCGGAAGAGGTGTCCGAGACTCCTGAGGACCGGCAACATGGCACGGTCAGGCAATAAGGTAGAGAACTGTCGGTTTGGGCCTTGCCCTTCCCTGGGCTTCGGAGAAAGTGGTGGGATACTGGCGGTGCTAAGGTGTGGAGAGAAAGGGGAGACCCTTGCTGGCGGGCGGGGCCAGGAGGGCCGGGACTGAAGGGTGCCTTGGAGAAGTACCGAGACCAGAATTTGAACCTTGCCGTTCTCCACCCCTTACCCCTCCCATCGGCCTGTCCTCCCATCATGCACTGCTTCCAGCATTCATGTTCTTCAGATGCCCACCTTTCCCGCTACCTCTCCACCCCCAGACCGTTCTCGTCTGCTTCATTTTCACTCCAACTTCGAACCCCACCTTCTGAGCCTGGACTTTGCAATATATGTTGTTGTTAAATGCCTTCGGTTCCGACCCATAGCGACCCTGTACAGGGTTTGTGAGACTGTAAATCTTTACGGGAGCAGAAAGCCTCATCTTTCTTCCGTGGAACTGCTGGTAGTTTAGAACTGCAGACCCTGAGATTAGCAGCCGATTCGTCACCACTACGCTACCAGAGCTCCTTTTTCAACACGTATGAGAATGGAATTTATCACGATCACAAGCACTTACTCTACAGACTTGAAAAACTTTAGAGAGGGACTACCTGGAGTCCTGGTGTGACGCTGTGGGTTAATACGCCAGACTGCAAAGCCGTTTGAACTGCAAGGTTGGCAGTTCAAGCTCATTAGCGTCTCCTTGGAAACCCTATACAGGGTCGCTGTGGATCGGAACCGACTCCACAACACTTAACAACTACCAATGTGGTGCTGTAGGATCAGCACTGGACTGCTAAAGAGGGTTAGCAGTTCAAGCCCATCAGCTGGACCTTGGAAACCCTATACAGGTCGCTATGAGTTGGAACCAACTCGATATCAGCCCTAGTATGGCTCTGTAAGAAGCACAGGACTGCTAACTGCAAGCCTACCAGTTGCTCTTTGGAAACACTATACTGTTAAGTGCCATCTAGTCGGTAATGACTAATAGCGACTCTGTAAAGGGTTTCCGAGGAGCAGCCAGTGAGTTTGAACCGCCGACTTTGTAGTTCAAACCTACATTGTGGTTCAGTGCATTTTCCTGCTGCGCCCCACCAGGACTTCAGAAAACCTTTACAAGGTCGCCATGAGTTGAAACCTACTTAACAGCACACAGTCAACCAACAACCATAGATTTATGTATTTAAGGAGTCCTGTTGTTGTTGTTGTTAGGTGCCATCAAGTCGGTACCGACTCATCGTGACCTTATGCACAGCAGAATGAAACACTGCCTGATCCTGGGCCAACTCACTGTTGTTGCCACCCTTGAGCCCATGGATGTTGCCACTTTGCCAGTCTATCTCACTGGGGGGTCTTCCTCTTTTTCTTTGACCCTCCACCTTACAAACATGATGTCCTTCTGCAGCGACTGGTCCCTCCTGATAATGTATCTGAATTATGAAAGACGAAGTTTGGCTGTCCTGGCCTCCAAGGAATACTCTGGCTGTACTTCTTCCAACACAGATCTGTTGGTTCTTTTGGCAGCCCATGGCACTTTCAATATTCTCCAACACCGTAACTCAAAAGCATCAATTCTTCTTTGGTCTTCCTTATTCACTATCCAGTTTTCACATGTATATGAGGTTATTGAAAATACCATGACTTGGGTCAGGTGCACCTTAGTCTTCAAGTTGACATATTTGCTCTTCAACACTTTAAAAAGGTCTTGTGCAGCAGATTTGCATAATGCAATATGTGGTTTGATTTCTTGATTGCTGCTTCCATGAGTGTTGATAGTTGACCGAAGAAGAATGAAGCCCTTGACAACTTCAATATTTTCTCCATTGATAAGAATGTTGTTTATTGGTCCAGTGGTGAGGATTTTTGTTTTCTTCACATTGATATGCAATCTATACGGAAGGCTGTGCTCTTTGGTCTTCATCAGTAAATATTTTAAGTCTTCTTCACTTTCAGCAAGCTAGGTTGTTTCATCTGCATATCGCAGGTTGTTAATGAGTCTTCCAATCCTGATGCCATGTATTTCTTCATGTAACCCAGTTTTTCGGATTATTTGCTCAGCATACAGGTTGAATAAGCATGGTGAAAGAATACAATTCTGTCGCACACCTTTCTTAATTTTAAAACATTCAGTGTTCCCCTGTTCTGTTCAAACAACTGCCTCTTGGACCATGTACAGATTCCTCATGAGCACAATTAAGTGTTCTGGAGTACTCATAGTTCTCAATGTTGTCCATAGCTTGCCATAATCCACACACTCGAAAGCCTTTGTGCAGTCAACAAAGCAGTCCTGTTAGCATGTGAATTTTGTGTTGCGCTGCTAGCCACATGGTCAGCAGTTCGAATCCACCAGCCTCTCCTTGGGAGTCTGCTCCCGTAAAGATTTACAGCCTTGGAAACCCTATACAGGATCCTTATGAGTCGAATTAGACCTCACTGTAACTAGCAACAATACTGATAAACAAGATTTGAATTTGAGCAACTGGTTCTTACTCTCCTTAACTCCCCACTGGGAAATGTTGATGAAAATGATTACAGATTGTTAAGGATGCTGCTCACTTCCACCATTCCTCTCTTTTCAGCTGCTGAAAACTTTGTAGCTCTAGTATTGCAGCTGTTGTTACCGGCAGGTGGACTTCAAGTCAAATTCTAACAGCCTGTATTGCTTGGTTGTTGATGAGAAGGGTTGCTGTGTTGTTTTAACTTTTGGATTCTTACAGTTGACAAAGAGGAACCTGAATTAGTACAGAGTTCATTTTTTCACCAGACAAGACGTTCTATTGTCGTGAAATCTTTTGATGCTGTTTTTTGTTTTTTTTTTTGGATACCTGCTTTCTGGCAAAAGACCTTCAGACCTTGGTTTAGAGTTTTGAGGTTAAAATGTCTCTTATGAGCATGTATTAAACAAATGCATCAGCATTTTTTGGCCTTAACTAGACCTGTACTTTGCTCTAGCCTACAGTCTGGGTTCAGATCTGCTCCCAGGGGTTTATTCTGGGCCTCAGGCCTAAGAAGTAGCTGCTGCTTGCCAGAGTATGTCTAACTTTTAGAATGCTTCAGGACTCTGGAAGGGTTCTCTATAATGAAAATCATTCTCAATGTCGACCACTCCCCTCCCCAAATGTACAGTACAGGTTCTTAAGTAGAGTAAGCAATAGACATCTCTCTTCTCTCTCTTTCCTAACACCGCTTTTAGCATTTTCTCAAACTCTCTTTTTTGGGGCTTTGTTTCTAGGCGGCCATTGTGCTGTGTATGGATGTGGGCTTTGCTATGGGTAACTCTTTTCCTGGCGAAGAATCTCCACTTGAACAAGCAAAGAAGGTGATGACCATGTTTGTGCAGCGACAGGTAAGTTTCAGGTTTCCCTTGAGTGTGTCACCCATACTTAAACTGCATCTTACCTCCTACTAATAATGCAAGGAGTCCTGGTCTGGTGCTGTAGGGTAAACACTGGCCTGCTACCTGCAAGGTTGTTGGCTCATACCCACCAGCTGCTCCTCAGAAACCCTATACAGGGTCACTATGAGCCAGAACTGACTCGATGACCATTATCAAAACAATGGTGCATGATACCAGCCTCCTTACAAGGTCCAGCCTCAGTGTTTTGAGGTGTCTGAAGAGTTTCCCTACATATATGACACCCAAGCTTATTGTTTTGGGGAGTTTGGAGAGTTTTCTGCATAAATGACGCCACAAGCTCAGCTATCATTAGCATTTGCTATGTTTTCCTATCCCTCTTTGGACTTGTCCACTGGCTAGCACAGTTTTTATTAGTGATGAGAGGCATTGTAAGTACGTTTTGAAAGTATAATCTCTGGAGCCTACTGAACTGGGACTGAATCCCTGTTCTAGCATGTTCACTAACCTTGAATAAGTCAGTACTTTGTGCCTATTCTAGATATATAACAAATTACTCCCAACACTTCATGTCTTTAAACAACTGCTTTTTTTTTTAAATGTTTTTATTGTGAATTGAGTGATAGTTTACATGGGAGAGCATCAACTTTACACTCATCCTATCATATTTCGTTTCATTGTAATGACTGCAATCTCTTCCATGCATCATCATTCAGCAGCATTTGCTTCCATTTCCTCTGTGTGTTTTTTGGATGTACACTGAAGCACTCAGGAATATATAACCATTCAAACAACCAAAGGGTATATCCCACATGCCTGCCCCATGGCCATCAGCACAGAGCCCCTCTCCCTCCCTGAGTCCAGAGTCCCCAGCCACTCCATCTCTCCACGTCATCATCTCTGCCTCCATATCTGGTATCACTTGTTCTCTGGATAGGATCCCACACTCCGCTCTTCTCCCTTGATGGTCCCAGGGTCCTCTGCTACTGAACTGCAAGATCAACCACTCTCCTCCTTTTGTTACAAAATGTTTACCTTTACAATCAATCCTGATACCATTTATTCACTATTGAACCACAAGAGTCTTATCCCTATCTCCTTTCACCAGCCCCATCTAGACAGGTTGAAAACCACTCAGTGGAGATTCTACCTTCTCCTGCACCCTCTGAAACGAAACTCCCTTTTGAAAACTTACAAGCCAGTCACTTTGTGCCTGTATAGCCCCCCATTTTAGGTAGCCAATATCAAAGTTGCTTATCCTGGGAACAGGTGGGCTTAGCTATCTGGTAGTTTTGTCTTGAGGCCTGTCATATGGTTGTAATTAGGTAGTAGTTGGGGCTCAAGTCATCTGAAGGGTTCAACTAGACTGCTTCAGTCCCATGGCTGGTAGGTTATGCATTCTGTCAGTTGTAGCCATCCACCAGAGCCACCTACATGTGGCTTCTTCTTGTAGCTTGGGGTTCTCAGTCATGCAGCTGATTTGAGAGGGAGTGTCCCTTGAGTGAACATTCTAAGAGACTGTGTTTGCATGACTTCTAATGAGCTAGCTTTGGAAATCCCAGAAAGTCACTTTCATTGCTTTCTGTTGGTCACATATCACTCAGGCCAGCTCAGCATCCACGGAGGGGCTCAGGTGCTGTTCTTGTAAGGAGTAGCATGTGTATCCAGGGGAGAAGGGATAGCTGACTCTGTCTCACAGTGTCTCTGTTTCCTTTGTGTAAAAAGGGAGACCTGCATAATAGTACTTATCTCATCAGGTGTGGAGAGATGGAAGCGTTAGCATAGGTAAAGCAGTAGAACAGTCCTTGCCATGGTGTAAAGTAAACACTGTTTGAGTGGTAGCCCAAACTATCACCACCCCTTCCACTGGATAAGACTGCCATGCTGGCTAGGTCCATGAGGCCCTGCTTCATCCCGGGGGCACTGGTGCTCTGCCATGTCTTCTGCGTGTTGCCATTTCCACTGAACACTAATCCTTCCCACCTGTCACTTTTGTTTTTACAAATTCTGACGACGCGAATGCCTAGAAGAGAATGCCTCTAACCCATTTTCAGTTATGGTAATTTGTTTTTAAATAGTGTTATGGTGCCCCAATGTAGTACAAATGTTTCTCTTTGTACTCATGGAAGGGAATGAAGCCCCAAATAAGCTTTTTATTTTGGGCTTCATTCCCTTCCATGGGCATTTGCGGAGTCCATAAAGATGGAAGACAAAGCCTGGTGACAGTTCCATCCAAAACCAACACCAAACCCACTGCCCTCAAGTTGATTCCAACTCAGAGCAATCCTACACTACAGAGTGAAAATGCCCCAGAAGGTTTTCAAGGCTGTAAATGTTTACAGTAGTAGACTGCCATTTCTTTCTCCCACTGAGCAGCTGGTGGGTTCTTTGGTTAGCAACTGAGCACATTAATCACTGTACCATGACACTAAAAATGTTCTCTCCTCCCATGACTGAGGTTTTGTTATTGGAACAAGAGTGCTTTGTCTTAAAATGAATTCTTGTCCAAGAGGTACATAGATTTCCAGCTGACTTGCCTCACCAGTGTGCTAGATCTGCTTGAACTTCAGAATCTGGGACCTTTGTTCCATGTTCAAGTAGGAATTATCATTGGAATAGTGAACAGACTTGTGGATTTAATAGATGAATCAGAGGTGGATGATGACTAGTTCATCCTTTCCATAGGCAGTTGTCTTTTCCCTTGAGATAAAAGACTTACACTAGTGATGAGCTTGGGTGGGACTACTTTTTATGTGAGATACTGTTTTTGTGGTTTTTAAAAACTTTTTATTGTGAGTTGAGTGAAGGTTTACAGGGAAGATCATCGGTTGTACAGTCAGCAAAAACTACACTTCATTTTATCTCAGTGATTCAGTCCCCTCCATGGAACAGCAGTTACCCCACTTCCTCCCAGTGGTACTTCTTTCTACTCCACCTTCCTTCCCTTCCCTTCTCAACTTTGTCCTTGCGGAGATGCTGCGCTTTTGATCTTGAATGGTTGAGCATACCTTACTCGTATTAGTGTCCTCCCCTGTCTACCTGTCTACCACTTGGCTGAGTGAGTTCCGTTCCAGATCTGAGGGTGGCCGAGGGCCATAGTCTCAGCTTCCTCTGGTCTCTTGCTGACCAATAAACCTGGCCTTTTTTTTTTTTTTTACATAATTTTGAGTTTTGTTTCACATTTTCTCCCACTCTATCTGGGACCTTCTAATGTGATCCCTTTCAGAGCAGTTGTTAGTGGTAGATGGCTGCCATCTAGTTCAGATGCTGTTTTTTGGTTTTGACCTTTTTATGTATGAAAGCATTCATTAAAAAAACAAAATATAATATGACTTCCAAGGTTTCCCATTGTCTAGCATTATACAATCCTAGTGCTTTATCATACTTAATGTTTTTTGTGTAAAGAATAAAATGTTACAGATAACATTTGAAGTTTCTTGTTTTCATCCTCTTCCTGTTCTCTCTTCTGTCCTGGCTTTCCCCAGAAATTTGGCAGTTAACATTGCCATGCATATTTTATACTTTTTGTCACACAGGCTTACTTTTTTACAAATAATAATTAGTATTGTTAAAGCACCTAAAATTATATATATATATATATGTATCTATGTATCTATCTATCTATCTATGTATATGTATATATTTACACATATCTATCATAGAGTACATGTAATTTTGCAATTTATTTTTTTCTCAGCGTTATGCTTTTGAGATACATTTGTGGTGATCAACGTTGCCAATAGTTACTCATTTTTACGAGGGTGTAACACCAGCTGCTCTTCTGAAACCCTGTAAAAGGTCTCTGTGGGTCAGAATCGACCTGACAGCTCTCCACGACAGCAGCAATATTCCATTGGACTCCTGGTGTGGTGCTATTGGTCTAGCACTGGACTGCGAACCACGAGGTCGGCAGTTCAAACCTACCAGCTGCTCCTCGGAAACCCTATACAGGGTCTCTATGGGTCAGAACCGACTCCATGGCACACAGCAACAACAACATTTGGTCACCCCTAATGTGATGACTGGAACTGCGGTTGCCTTGGCAGGGCCAGACCAAATGATTGGGCCGAATGTTCCCTACCCCTGCTTTCTAGGGAGGCATGGGTTAATGTGCCGGACTACAAAGTTGGTGTGAATCACAAGGTTGGTGGTTCAAGCTCACTAGCCACTTCTTGGAAACCCTACACGGGGGTGCTAGGGGTTGGAACCAACTCAACGGTACTTAACAGTAACCACACTCGTTGTCTTGCTCTGGTCAGATTGGGTATCTGACAGCTTCCATTTCATAATAACATGCTTTTCAACCTTCTAACCGTCTTCTCTAGGTGTTTGCAGAGAGCAAGGATGAGGTTGCTCTTGTTCTGTTTGGTACGGATGGCACTGAGAACGCGCTTGCGTGTGAAGATCAGTATCAGAACATCACAGTGCACAGACACCTGATGCTGCCAGATTTTGATTTGCTGGAGGACATTGAAAGCCAAATCCAACCAGGTTCTCAACATGCTGATGGTATCCTTTTTCAGCCAGAGAAGAGTCTTAAGAAATGTCTTGTCTAGAGAGTCGTAATCCAATGTGAAGAGACTCTCCCGAGTGCTGGCTCTGATTATGCAGGTGTTTTTGACTCTGAGGGCATGGAAGTGATGCCTGTTGGGATTTAATTTGAAGCTAATCAGCTGGAGTGCCTGGTCTCTAGGCCCTTCAATCACCTGCCCCTTCTCTATGGGATACTGAGTGGTTAGGAGGCATAGGAAGGGGAAGATACTGGGGAACATATATTTGTATATTGACCACGTACAGAGGGATTGGTGGTAGAAATGTCTGGAGGTAGAAAAAGATCTTTTAAGAAGAGTATAGCATTAGAACTTCCCACTCTTTTCTAGATGGGAGATGTTGTTGTGCCATAAATGTGATTGATACGTGAACTCGGAGATTTCCAGTAGCTTTCAAAGCTCCATTAATTTTAAGGAGCTTTTTCTTTGAATTGTCAGAGTGCCATCTGTGACCACTGGGAGGCGCTGCTTTGCTTGGAGTGACATGCAGATGCTTCATTGCCACTCATACTTCATATTCAGCAAGAAAGTGGGTTCTTGGCACTGTAAAGTGTCCTCCGAATTGTTGATTAAATCAGTGGGGTGGATTAGGGTAGCTTTCTGTAGATTGCCATTTTCTTAGTTGTATGGGAGGGCTTCAAACAGTTCATGGGAAAATTCCACTGTCTTCTAGTGCCATTTCTACATGAGCTTTTGGAAGCGGCCTCCTCTGTGTCCCGATGTACATCTGCCAGTATGTGCTAAGGAAGTAAACCTTGGAACAAGGGCACTGCGCCAAGTACTTGTAATCAACATCGTCAGTCCAGGGCTCAGTTCCCAGCACTTGTGAACTTTTGGGGGGAAAAGTTACTTGTTCTCGGACTAGAGGGGCCATGGGATCCCACCTTGTGCCCTTAACTAGCCGAGTCCTGGATGCACTCGTCGTGTGCATGGATGTGATTCAACAAGAGACTGTGTAAGTGTGAACTGAGGAGAGCCAGAAATGGGCGTTCTGCAAACATTCAAGGGCTGATGTACTCGGTGCAGTCTGAGTCTGTTAATCAAGCAGCTAAAAGAAACATCTGAGAGAATTCAATGGCTCAGTTCAAGTGCTATGATTTTTGAAAAGTTAATAAAAGAAATGGCTGTATGTAGTAGGAATTTCTCTGGGAGAAATTAATGTGTGGCTTATTTCAAATTCATTACAATTTGATTTCAGCTCATTACCAAGATTTTTTTTTCTAATAGTAAGAGGTATGATCTGTGTGTAATTTAAATGCATAGTAACTGGCCAGCTTTCTTATGCACTATGAATTAGACTACTCACACACATGTACACACACATATACACATACACATGCACACTGTTAGGAAGAACATCTGCACTAATAAAAATCTCAAGCTGTCTGAAAACTCCTTCCTTAGGTCTGGTGAGTAGGGCCAGAGCAGGGCATTTGGAGAGTGAATCTTTGTAGGACTGAACTAGGGCATACTGGTAGAGTGCCTTGTTCATACCCTGCCAAGGCGATCAGAAGTTTCACTCAAGATGTTAAAAGTATGAGGTACAGCAAGTTTGATTATGTGTTTAATAGAACTTAACTGAGCATCCATAATACATGAACGTCTAAATGCAGTAACTTTTGTTAACAGTGTGATGTTGTAGGGTAAGCACTGGACTCCTAACTGCAAGATTGGTGGTTCAAACCTACCAGCTGCTCCTGTTATTGTTAAGTACTGAGGCGTCGGTTCTGATTCACAGTGACTCTGCACAGGGTTTCCGAGGCTGTAAATCTTTATGGAAGTAGAAAGCCTCATCTTTCTCCCGTGGAACAGCTGGTAGTTTCAAACTGCCAACCTTGAGGTTAGCAGCCTGATTTGTAACCACTACACTACCAGAGCTCCTTTACCAGCTGCTCCTAGGAAACCCTGTACAGGATCACTACGAGTCAGAACCCACTGACAGCTCTTAACAACAACAACTGCACTCTATATCCAATACTTGGGCTAGATGTTTTGTTTCAGTTGCAAATCATGTAGCCCTTGTTATGAGTCTCCTTTGTGTGCTGCCCCCGTTATCTCTGTGCCCACTATTTATGTGGGTGCATTACTATGAAGATAGGGTCCATTCATTCCATAGCCTCTCTGCTCAGTGACAAAGTCTGGTTGAATTTGTTGAATGTGAGTCAGGAGGTTGATGTCCTAATGTGATCCCTCTCTCTCTTAGAGGAAAGAAGTTTGAGAAGAGGCATATTGAAGTGTTCACCGACCTCAGCAGCCCATTCAGCAAAGATCAGTTGGATATTATCATTCATAACTTGAAGAAATCTGGCATCACGCTGCAGTTCTTGTAAGATCATAAGACGCATGTATGCAGACAAACTCTGTGGTTTTGTAAGGAGGGCATAAAGGTCGTGAGTGGGAGGACGATCTCTGGACTCAGCACTTACTGATTATACTCTAGGTGGACTCCAGCCACCCACCTTTCAGTTAGCAGCTGAGCACTGGGTCTACATAGAAACAGTGTAAACCGAAGGCTCTGAGTATAGCAAAACGATAAGAGAAATCACCTTAAAATGAAATTGTGTTAGGTTGACCAACAGGTAGTTTTAGAGGAACTCTAAAGATTGCTGAATTGAGTCTTTTAGTTTTCAGTGGCAAAGTAAAGTAACGTGACATTGGGACGAACCTTGTGCTCGAAGTATGTGACAGAGTCTTTATTGTAGAAAATGTGGCTTTTTCCAGGTTTTTCCATACTTGTAGAGAATCGAGGTAGGAATCGCTCTCTACCTAAAATGTGAAGATTAAATAAGATCGTCTGTATGAAAAATGTTATAATTTTTTGTATAAAATTTTTAATTCTTTGTGTATAATACTGCCATAAAAATGTCTGTAGTTGCCCCCCCCCCCCCCCCGCCCACCTTCTGTGCTGATTATTCCCATGACTGGTTCTCTCAGTCTAGTGTTAGTCTCATTTCAGTCGAACAGCTGGAGCAAAACACAAAAAACAAAATGAGGTTTTACCTATTTCTAACAACTAGTATCTGTATCTATAATAATAATGATAATCCTATTTGAGTTCTAAGAATTTTAAATGTAGGCTCTAATTATAATCCTTATAACCACCTTGAAGGATCATTGGGCAGTTACTTATTGGTCTGCCAAGAATAGCACTCAGTCTTTTTCTCATTCCTCCCTGAACTCTAACCTTTAGATTACATGAGAGCTACCATTTTCTGTTGGAGTCCTGGTGTGGCGCTGTGGGTTAATGCGCCAGACTGCAAAGCCATTTGAACTGCAAGGTCGTCAGTTCAAGCTCACCAGCTGCTCCTTGGAAACCTTATACAGGGTTGCTATGGGTCAGAATCGACTCGATAGCACACAACAGCAACAACCATCTTCTGTTAGATGTGGCCCAGGCTGCTGTTCATTAGACAAGTGGTAGGCCATGTGGCTCAATAGAGGCCAACCAGAACCCTTTCCTCTCTCGTTTTTTCAATTAAATACTAGCAGGTTAAGCACTCAGTCCCCCTTCATAGTGGAGCTGGGTAAATGTGAACAGCAAGTGTGGAGAAAGCTAGTCTGAGAGAATGAAGACAGCAGAAAGAAGGAAAGAGCAGATGTCAGAAACGCTAGGTATAGCCATCCCTGAGACCAAGAGTAACTCCACCCTTTTAGTTATTGGGTTCTTTAAACCCACATATCTCCCTTTTTTTTTTACCATGTCAAAGAGGTTTCTGCCACTGGAAAGCACAAGAGTATTGGCTGTACCAGATAAGCTCATTCAGGTTGACTGACATTTTCACACAGCCAATGGGTGGCTGCCACAGGATTGGAACCTACTTTTCTTTCACTTTACGACTTGTTCTTTTCACTGTTGCTGATCTTTTCCTGGTAGTTTGCCTTTCCCAATTGGGAAGGAAGATGGAACTGATGGCAGCTTGAGCTTGGACCACCATGGACCCTCCTTCCCTCAAAAAGGAATTTCTGAGCAGCAGACAGAAGGTGTTCAGATGGTGAAAAGGGTGATGCTATCCTTAGAAGGTGAAGATGGGCTGGATGAGATTTATTCCTTCAGGTAAGAAGTGGAAACATTGTTAACTTCTCAGTCACACCCAAAGAAATGGCTCTTTGGATTAGAGGTTTTTATAAAGTTTTTCTGGTCCACTCCTTTGAGATATCAGTTAATACTCTGTGCAGTAGCTTAGCAGTTCAAACCCACCAGTCACTCTGTGGGAAAAAGATGTGACAGTCTGCGTCCATAAAGATTTACAGTCATGGAAACTGTGGGGAGTTTTAGTCTATCTTTGTTTTTTAAAGCTCTTTTTGTGAATTGAATGATAGTTTACATGGGAGAACATTGGCTTTGCACTCAACCAATTGTATTTTCAGAAACATTCCGTTATCTTTGCTTTTTAACATTTTTTTTTTTAAGTTTTTATTGTGGATTGAGTGAAAGTTTACAGGGCAGATCATCAGTTTTACATTCAACAAATCGTACAGCTTGTTTCGTCACAATGATTACATTCCCTTCCATGTACCATCAGTTAACAGTACTTTTCTCTTTTCACTTTAGCTCGGTTTTTTAAAAAACACTCAGGCATATACATAACTTACACCACGAAAGGGCATATTCTACAAGTCTGCCTCATGGCCACCATCTCTTAGTGCCTCTCTTCCCATGAATCTAGAGTCCTCAGCTGCTCCCCCTCTCCATGTCCCCATCTCTGCCTCCATTTCTGGTGTTGCTGCT